GGTGCTCCCACATTAGATAGTTTTCCCATTCATCATTCACCAACCCTTTTCTATGTTGTGTGTTGTGGATCAGGTAACAGAAGAGAAGTTGATAGATGTCCTGACGACAAGAAAACAAGTCACAAGAGGAGAGCAGTTCATCGTACCATACAAGTATCAAGAGGTATGAAACTTYATAGTATGTATTATTATGAAAAGGCAATCTCTATGGGCATATGGGATGTATGCTCTGATTGGTTGAAATGTTTGACAAAGCATGTTTATATCAGAGGACAGAAAATGCACTCACACTCAGCTCAAATGTTTATTCTATTTTATAAAAGTAATATGCCTCATGTTTTTGTCTCTATTGCTCTCAGCATGTTTATATCACAGTATATAGACACATACAGTACTCCATTTCAAATTTATATTTGTTAAACCAGAGGCTGAGACTTGACCCTTCTATTTCGTATATTTCCAGGCCTTAGCAACAAGGGATGCTATGGCTAAAGCTCTCTACGGTGCATTATTTGACTGGATTGTACTGCAAGTCAACCATGTGTTGGTGATTAAACAGCAACGTCACAAAGAGGTAAGCAAACATGCCACATGTATGCCTGATGTAAGGAGTGGATTCTGAGGGGCCCTGAGTCTACCTGCTTCCATCCCAACAATCTGTGGTGCATCGTGGATAGRCATTTGAGTTGATAAGCTGAYGGTGRGACAAATAGTTAGTCTTGTATATCCTTAGTGTYGCTACCCAAATTCTCCTCATACCCTTTCCTTCAACCACTAAAATGCCTACTCTCCCCCMAAAAAACACTGCCCAAYCTCCACTCAACTAGACCTTATCTGCACCACCATTCACCACAACCACCTTGTCTCTTTCCCACYACTACCCTAATTTACCATTGTACCCCCACCATCTCCACCCAAATTTACCATTCTGCCACCTGAACACCACTACCCAAATTACCATTCTGGTACCCAATTACCTCTACCCAAATTTATCATTCTTCCACCTGACACCACTACCCAAATTACCATTCTGGTACCCAATTACTTCTACCCAAATTTATCATTCTTCCACCCAGCCATCACTACCCAAATTACGTTTCTGGTACCCAATTACCTCTACCCAAATTTATCATTCTGCCACCCAGCCATCATTACCCAAATTTAACATACCTCACCCCTCCCCCTTAAAATATGCACTAATAACTCTTTTGCTCTGTTATCAACGTTTAAGATGTTGTCTTTGTCTTGTCTTGTAGTGGTGTTCCATTGGTGTTTTAGATATCTTTGGATTTGAGGATTTTCTGTACAACAGCTTTGAGCAGTTGTGCATTAATTTTGCCAATGAGAAGTTGCAGTACTACTTCAACCAACATATTTTTAGGCTGGAACAAGTAAGAAAGTTAGCCATCAATACCACAAGAACCACCACCATTACTACCATCATTCATCATCATCATCATCTCTTGTCGCTGTCATCATCATCATTATCAGAATCACCATCATCATCATCATTATCATTATCGTTATCATCACCATCACATTTTCATCATCATTTTTTTACAATCCATCATCTTTTTCATCATTGGCATCATCACTGCCAGCAATACCATTAACATCATCGTTGTCATAATCATTTATGATGCATTACAGTCTAAAATTTAAAAAAATGTCCAAAGTATAAGGTGAGTCCTAAGTTTCAATTTCCAGGTTTCTCTAAGTTCTGTATTGTTTTTCAAAGGATGAATACAACAGTGAAGGCATCCTTTGGAGGAATGTTGAGTTTGTTGATAACTATGGCTGTATAGAGTTGATCTCTGGTCGTCCTACAGGAATCATGCCTCTRATTGATGAGGAGAGCAGGTAAGTTTTGTCTCTGTTTGTTTGTCTGTCCTCTGTGTCTCTCATAATGTCTTTCCATGTCTATCTTTCTCTGTCTGTCTGTTTGTTTCTCTGTCCGTCTGTGTGTATCAGACTTTCTGTATGGCTTTTTCTTTSTCTGCTTGTCTCACTGTCTGTCTGTCCTGGCTCACTTCTTCCTTTCATTCAAAACTTTTCTTCCAGTTTTCCTGGTGCAACCAAGTTCTCTCTCCTCAACAAGATAAACAAGACTCATTCAGCGAACCAATACTATGAGCTCTCACTCATAAATCCTTCATTCATGGTCAAGCACTACGCAGGGAATGTTGAATATCAGATTACTGTAATTATCAATAATTATTATACTTTAGTATAGATCTGTGTTTTGATTGGTTATGAGCAGGGTGGCCAGTGTGCTATCCCCTGGGGGGAGGGGGGTACTCCCCTATATTAGCTATACAGGTACGTGTCACCAAACAGGGTATGATTTTCAGAAATTTTACTCTGGAACAGGGTATATAAAATCATGCTCGCTCTGGAATAGGGTATATGAAATCACGCTATCTCCTCTCTGGAACAGGGTATCTATTTTCGCAATACCGTAACAGAGTATGGTTTTCAGCGATCTTGCTCTGGAACAGGGTATGAATTTCAGCGATTTGACTCTGGAACAGGGTCAGGGTTTAGAGGGCTCAGCGGCACATCCCTACCCTAAATGGGCAAGAGTACCCCCCGGGGGCGCTATCGCACATCACACAGAAACTTTTTGCCACCCTGAGTGTTGAATGTTGAGTGTTTTAAATATGAAAATAATGTTGGTGCTAGTGGAGCAAATATTGTAGATATGACATGTAAATCATGTCAACTTGTATCCTCTATTCCCCCACAGGGCTTTCTAGACAAGAACAGAGATTTAATGAGACCAGATATACTCAGCATACTAAAGAGCAGTAATCTAAAGTTCATCCGGGAACTYATTGGTAAGTCATGTGATTTAAGTGTCAATCATGTATCTCTAGCTCCATCCACAGTATTGACCAAAACTAGGGCATTGGGGTTCCTGTGGTARAAATAGGACTGGACACATTATGGTAGTACAGTAATATTCCATTTTACAGTTCCGTTCAGTGACCATGAATAATAGTTCCATGCCAAGGCTGGAGTTTCTGTGCATGATAAACTATAGTTTTGCTATGCGCGGAAACTCCAACCTCAACTTGGAACTATTATTCATGGTCACTGAACACAACTGTAAAGTGGAATATTTTCATGTTTTACATCGGAATGCAGCTCAATTTGGAGAACATAACAATAGGTTTCCAATTCTCCGGAAATTCTTTTGTTTTGTTTTCCAAATTTAGCTCCTTTGACGTCACATGCAAGGGGGCTATGGCACTCCACTTGGACATAAATTTATAACCCATATTACCCTCCCCAGTTTCCCCTCTTTCAGTTTTCCCACAAGAAACCCATCCAAGAGAGCAATAGTAATGGTATATATTTTGTTGGCTGTGTTCGTAGGTGCTGACCCAATGGCGGTATATCGCTGGTCAGTTCTGAGGGCATTCTTCAAGGCTGTACATGCCTTCATTGTGTCTGGGAGAATGTTCAGAACAAGTGAGTATATAGGTTTTGCACCATCACGTGTTGACAGCCATGACAGGAGGCACAACAATAGAGCCGTTTTCCCCTGGGAAACTGAATTCTTTCTCATGTAATTAAAATTAGACCAGATTCAATTTTTGTTCCTGCCTCCTGTCATGGCTGCCATCATGTGATGGTGAAAAGCCTCTGTAGACTGTACTATACTCTTGAGTATTGTTTCATTCTTTATTGCGAACATTTGAGATCATGAGATTTGAGATAAATACTCATGATTTGTTCATTTCTTTTTTTCCTTCCTTCTTTCTTACAATCTAAAAAAATGTAACTGATTTTGCTTGATATCTGTCACCATTTTAGATGGAAAAGCAAGCGAGAGAACAGCAGCTCGAAGAAGGAAGGTACCATGATTTACTCTTTTCATTAGTGTTAAAGATATGTTAAAGAATGTGAAGATATCAACAAAAATCCTAATTCGTATTGGTGCAATGTTTTCCCATTTCAGACCATATGTCATCCCCTAGAGTATGATTTCTTTGTTTAACGGATGTGCATTATAAGACACATGAATATGGATACATCTCAAACAAAAAATCTCATTCTTTAGAGAATGACATGTGGCCTTCTTAAGCATGAGCTCTGCAGCAAAGGGCATGCAAGGTGGAGCTGGGGAAACTTAAGAAGACTTGAGTGCGCTTGTGCTAGGCCACAGTTGATGATTTTCAACGCTGTCCAATTATCACCCACCAACATAGTTCAGATCATTTCATTAACATACTTGTTCRTACTTTTCAGGCTTCTTCCAAATCATTCAGGTGAGGTTACATCAGCCAATGGGCAACACTCTTAACTGGTCCATGTAGTTTAAAAGTACCCTCACGTTGATGGTACTCACTCTTCATTTCTTTATGCTCCATCAATAATAATTTCTTGTGAAGAGTTTAATTTCTTCCTTTTCTTCAGGGTTCTCCTTTTACCTCCACTTTTTCATAAAATCACAGGTGTGTCTAGGGGGATCCAGTGCCTGACCCATCCCCCCTTAGGATTTTCTTGCCATAAAGATCACGAGTGGGTCCAGGGGGATCCAGTGCCTGACCCAACCCCCCTTAGGATTTCCTTGCCATAAAGATCACGGGTGTGTCCAGGGGGATCCAGTGCCTGACCCAACCCCCCTTATATTTCCTTGCCATAAAGATCACGGGTGTGTCAGGGGGATCCAGTGCCTGACCCAACCCCCCTTATATTTCCTTGACATAAAGATCACGGGTGTGTCCATGGGGATCCAGTGCCTGACCCAACCCCCCTTATATTTCCTTGACATAAAGATCAYGGGTGTGTCCATGGGGATCCAGTGCCTAACCCAACCCCCCTTAGGATTTCCTTGCCATAAAGATCATGGGTGTGTCCAGGGGGATCCAAGAGTGCCTGACCCCACCCCAAGATTCCATTTCTAATTTTATTTTTCTATGAAAAAGTAAGAACTATGCACTCAATGATTCCCCTTGTCTAACAGGATGAAGTTACTTAATGAAGAAGAACAGACCATTCCTTATGGCGAATCAGCGTCTCTCTTCAGGAAAGCTTCCAAAGTCATACGGTATGTACAATGTATTATGGGCTTTTCAATTAATAAAGTGACTAACGCCTTCTTAGATTCCTCCATAATCTCCCTCGGCCATTGGACGCCGAGYCTGGGATAAAAGGCTGGGAAGAGTTTGGATGTTTTTCCTTAAAGTTACCCCATAGTATCCCATGGTTCTTTGCATTGAGGAGTATTGTCTTGAGTGTTAATCACCTGGTTCTGTTTGTAGGAGAATACAAAGTAACAAGTCAGCATCTCCTTCAAAGGTAAGACCTCTAGTTGCTAACGAAATGCAGCTGGCCTTATTGCGGTTTTGCTGCTGCTACTGCTGCTGCTGTTGTTGTTGTTGCTGTTGTTGTTGCTGTTGTTGTTGCTGCTGCTGTTGTTGTTGCTGCTGTTGTTGCTGCTGTTGTTGCTGCTGTTGTTGTTGCTGCTGTTGCTGCTGTTGTTGCTGTTGTTGTTGCTGTCGTTGCTGCTGTTGCTGCTGTTGTTCTTGCTGCTGTTGTTGCTGTTGTTTCTGCTGTTCTTTCTGTAGCCCCTTCTGTTGCTGTTGCTGTTGGTAGTGATGATATTGTTGCTGCTGCTGCTGCTGCCTTTGCTGTTGCGGCTGTTGCTGCTGCTCCTACCGTTTCTGTGTCAATAGGTTGAGGATGTTGCTGTTGATGTTATACCTACCTCTGCCATTGTCGTTGCTGTCGTCTTTGTTTCGAGTGTTGTTGCTGTAGTTGTTATCATTGCTCAAAATTGTCTTCAATGCCAGGCTAACGTGAAAAAGCAAAAGCAGTTAAAGATTTTCTCAATTGGATTTGTGCCATTTCTTTTGTATTTTCATGTTAGCATCGCATCCTAGATAACTCTAAGAGGGATCTATAGATATTGCGATCCTATTCCAAGAACTCCTAGTAATGTAGATTGTCATACACCGAATCAAATTATGACGACCAATTTGAATAACTATTTTTCTGCACTGACCAGCGACTGACTAGCCTCTCATACATATGAAAACGCTTTTATGTTTCCATATGAACACAAGGCTAGTCAGTCGCTGGTCAGTGTAGAACAATAGTTATTCAAATTGGTCGCCATATTTCGATTAGGTGTATAGTAGTAATACTATAGCTTATCGTTGCGTGTTTTGTTTTCTCTAGAACTTCGTGTCCAAGATTCGTCAAGGCCTGGAGACCAAACGTGATATGTCAATGCGCACGTATGACTATATGTACAAGACCCAGCGAGGTAAAGCAGCACCCAAGAACCCTCCTACAGTCAGCGCTCAGTTCCAGGTACGATATAATGATTGTTTGATATTATGGCTTTTATAGAGTTACACGCACGCGCGGAACTGTGCAATTTACCGTCGCGACAAAAACAGGGATTTGGGTGGATGTCAATCAAACCGTTTCCATGACATCGYTGGAAAACACAGATGGAATGTCATGGAAACGCCTTGATTGATGTTCACTAAAACCTACTTCGTCAGGGAACGGTCATCATTTATCCCCTAGGGGGTAGGATGAATTAGGGGGATCTCATGTTACTGTTTTAGACAACTGGAGGGGGAATCAGTCAGGTATATTGGCATGTATCTAGGGGGGGATCACACATAGATTAGAGTGTAGCAACCATTATTGAGGGGCCGGGGGGGGGGGGTCATAAAAAAGGATAGTGCCTTTTCGTGGGGGAGGGGTTCAGTTAATCTTTATGATGTATGTCGTTGCTAATAGAAATACGTTGTCGGTGTATATTGCAACAAAAATCCTCCCACCCCCTCCCATTCGACAAATAATGACCTGTCACTGAATTGGGCTCCCTGTAGTATTTGTTCGTTCCATTAATGATTGACATGTGGTTTTGCTTGACAGTCGTCGTTGAACCGCTTGATGGAGATTCTCGGCGAGGCTCAGCCGTTCTTTGTGAGGTGTATCCGGTCTAACGCTGAAAAGGTAACTAACRATCATTCTAGAAAAACCTTTGTCTGACTCTTTCACGCAAACTAGCAAATATGGAAATGATTTTCTCAATCCTAAATGACTAGGCTGTCAGATTCTAGTGGGGGTAGGGAGGGGAGACCCTGGAATACAATACAAGTTTASAATACAAGATTATKTGCTCATAATTTCAAAATTTKTTACAATGCTGTAACATAATAAATACAATTAGTAAAAAGAGGAATAAAAAATAATTTTGAAAATTACAGCCTGGAATCTAAATTCATCGTGAGGTTTTCGAGTTAGACCCGGGAAGAAGAATACTCCTCACTCAGTTCTCCCTTAACGTAGACTACTTTGAGCAGTATGCATTAATGCTGATGAATCGGTTATTTTTGTATTAGAAATGTCACAAAGTAACAATACTACCTGTTTTCGTTTGTATTTGAGTCCAAAAAGCGTTGCGTTTTCCAGCACGATGTTTATGGACTTTTTTCATGTTTGTATTCAAAAATCTTCATGCAAAGTTGATTTCGAAACAAAGAACTCCACATTTTTTCCTCCATACAAAGAACAGAACGGGACACAAAACTTGTCTCTGATAATGACCCTGGTTTTCGAGTTGATCRCATCTCCTTTTAATGACGCAATAATCAGTGACGTCACCCCGGTACCCGAGAGCTTGTCGAGGTTCTCTAAAGTATTGATCGCCTGTTTTGACTGGGACCTCAGGTGGTGCTTTGGAAGTTAGATTTTGACAGCTTGAAGAATAAAGTGCTTCAAAACTTTCTCTCTTTCTCTCATTTTCCGATTAAAAAAAGCGGACACGGCACGTTATCGTCACGGCACAGCTATACTATGACTTCTATCTCATATTGGTTACAACAACACTGAACCAATCACATCGCGATATCATTCTTTAGCCAATGAAATTACGCGGCACGGCACCGTCAGGGTCACGGCACAGCCTTACGATGACTTTATCTCATATTATTAGTTATAACAACACTGAACCAATCACATCGCGCGATATCACTCTTCTTCCAATGAAAATATTCGGACACGGTGCCGTCACGGTCATGGCACGGCACGATTATACCGCGCCTCTATCTCCTATTGTTGACTACTTTGGTTTTCCTTTTCTTGCCACGTACACCAGCTCCTCTAGCTATGTATGCTTTGACATGTTATCATAACATCTACACCAGACAGCCATTATTTATCAATAGTATTGATAACCACTCAACGGTCTTATCAGTGTACCTTCCCTGTATCAGCTGCTGCGGTACCTTGAGCTGTTGTGTTTTGACTTTGTTTCTAAGTTAGTTGCTAAACTACGGGGGTAGGGTAGGGGGTCGGGTTAGTCCCTTTGTATCTAGTTTTGAGACCTACCTACCTACCTTTGTGGGGATATGTACCGGGCAGATTTAGCCTCGTTTGTCAGTAAGAATCGTTGTCATTCTCCGGTTTAGGTTACTTTAAAAAGGTCAATGAATGGAACTCTTAGCAAGACTGGTGGGGTTACATATAGTTGTGACCCATACTATACCGCTATTGTTCACATTTTTGTAAATAATTTCTTGGAGGGTAATACAAACATACAGTGACCTTATAGTTTTAGGGGTATCGATTTTGTTCTTAGTATCAAACCCAGAAAATATTGAGTAGAGTCTTTTTTTACCACACCCTAGTGTAGTTAATCCCAAAGAAGATTTAAAGGGTAAGAAAAGGCAATCCTTCTGTTCCCCCAGTAGTACGTGTACCCATCCATGACATTCCTTCACCCCTCCCTATCCTCCCCCATGCAATATCTATAACCCCTATACCCTTGCACTAGTTCAACCTCCTTTTCACATTTTGAATTTCCTGTTTAACGTTAGTGCAATCTAGTCAATACAGCATAAAACATACTTCAAGTACTTCTACGTATTTCTGTCTACCGGAAAAAATCATTCACTCTATTCTATATAAACCACCGAAGTCGAACAGTACAGTTAGACTCTACACGTAGAAGCTCGATGTATACTATGCGTTAGTCGTCAAAATCATTTTGATCGTCACTAGAGTATAACTGTTAGTTTAATCATGGTTTTGCGATACGAAGATTTGAGAAACTTAGGATTCAAATCCTTGCTTATAAGTAACTCGAAGAGAAAGTCCAATGCTAGGAGAAAATCGTCGATAAAGGTAGAGATTAGATTTGTATGGTTTAAATTCTAGAGATCTCGTGGCATGGGACACTGATTGATTTTATTTGACATTGCAGTGCATTGTTGGACACTTTGAGGTTACATATTTCCAAGATGGCATTCGCCATTTTCCATACATCGGTTCGCTGATCAAACACAAAGCATTCAGTTCAGGTTGTAAAGTTCAAATTTGAATAATCCTTTGAAAGTACCTTGGCGCCGCGCTTGAGCGCTTTGTGTTTGACCAGTGAACCAATGTATGGAAAATGGTGAATGCATTAGTCCCCTAAACAGTCCCACAATGCACCACAATGCCAACTAGACCCAGTCTCTTACTCAACCTCAGAATGGCTTACTTCTTCATTAGATTCATATTCTAAACTATGGTTTTTTTCCTCAGGCGCCTCTGAAGTTCGACTGTGACGTAGTGCAGCGCCAGCTACGCTACACCGGGATGCTGGAGACTGTGAGGATAAGAAGACTGGGATACCAATGGAGGTTCCACTTAGACGTATGTACTGGTTGCCACTAGCAACTGTCAATCATATATTAATTTAAATCGTGTCATAGGTGAAATGCTTTCAGTCACCCAAGAATCCCGGCCGCTGACAAGCCGATCTTTTTACTTCTAAAATATCTATCATCTTCGACATAATCATCATCATAATCATCACCGTCATCATTATCATCCTCACTTATTATCAATATCCACCACTCTCATCATCATCATCATCACCACCACAACCATCATCACAATCATCACCATCACAATCATCACCATCATCACAATCATCATCCTCATCACCATCACCATCATAATCATCACCATCATCACCATCATCATCATCATCACAATCATCACCATCGCCATCATCACCATCATCACAATCATCACCATCATCACAATCATCACCATCACAATCATCACCATCANCATCACAATCATCACCATCATCACAATCATCACCATCGCCATCATCACCATCATCATCCATAATCATCATAAAAACTTTTAGTACCAACCCTGAGTTTGAACAGTGAGTTTACGTTCCCAGCGGCTACTGCCTTATATGAAACCAAACTGTCGAATTTAGCAGTACAAGTTCGTTACTTTTTTTCTGGCTAAGTTCAATTATTTGACGTCCTCAGCTGTTGTTTATTGCCTCTCCAGTTAACTTTTCCTTTTTCTTTCGGAACAAACCTGATCTTTTCCACGCGTCAGATGTCATTGATAACCTTTTACTCATTGCTAAAGAATTTTTTGATTACTCAGAACCCTGTTTTAATCCAAAAGTCAATACACTGTTGTATTCAAACAAACGGTATCTGACAACTATTCAAAACTCGAAAGATATTTCGCAAATAAACTTCACATCAGCTTCTAGATCGAAATATATATCATTAGGAAAGCAATTGAAGGTTGAAAGTACAGCCAAAGCCAGCAAAACCGAACACTATAAAGCAATGCGGTTGTAGTTACATTATATTAGGTGAAAGATACGAACTGGAAATCGGAAGCCATTTCAGTGTTACGATTTAACAAGACAAGTTTTGATTTTTTCATAAATTTTTCATTTACCCTTTCATGTGTCAAATTTATTCTTTTATGGAATCTTCGTTTGTTTTATTTACAAAATTTTGACATATAGTCTTCAGTAGTTCATATATGCTATGTCATTGGATGTCACTGGGAAGCCAACTCATTGCTCCTACAAAGATTTTTTCGGGAAGCCATTTCAGTGTTAATAAAACGAAATTTAATTTATTTTTTTTTCTTTTTCTTTTTAATTTTTGACCCTTTTCTTTAGAAAAATAGGAACTCTTCACTTTTTGCAATCAGGTGATGGTCATATGACACCGTAAATGAAAAAAATATTCCCTGCCTTCCGTGTCGAGAGAAATTTCGTCATGTGCAAAATAATTAGAAGTAGGGTCGTACTTTTAGGATGCCAGTACCTTCGTAAGGAATATATCCGAAGAAAAAAAGATGGTACTGAATTAAATGAAGAAAAAATTGTTTCCTTGCTAAAAATATTTTTTTATTTTGGACACAAGTTATGTCTCATGCTGTTCGTGGTCTGTTAAAAACAAAACAAAAAATACCAAACTACCAAAATCCCTTCCCCCTCCCCCAAGAAAAGAAAGAAAAAGCGACTAAATTTCATGATTCGAGGGAGAATTTTCCCTTCAGGAATGGACCAGCTGTTGCCACATGTGATCGAATCCACAAGCACGAGGTATCGATAACAGATGTCGTTAGGTAATCGCCTTATCTGTTAAAAATCCTGATTCCTTATTGCATTGGATCTGGACTTAAGAAAAGCCCTTTAATGGACTTATAGATTTGGTCGTCCTTAGTAACTAGAAAGCTGTTCCCTCACTGGACCGAACAACCAGCTTGTGCTTTAAAAAGCTTCAAACGTCGACAGTAATCGATTGTTTGATTAGGTTGTTCAGGAAACAACTATTACGTCACTTCCGGTATTACAGACCAGACCAAAACACTCTTCAATCTGATGCTCTAGCGCTAAACCTAGAATGCTTTTCCACGTAATAATGATAGCCTTTTTTCCGCGTTGTCTCGTTCTCTCAGCTCTGCCTCTGTCATAAGGAATATTTCTACAAGTTTTTCGGATGGAAGACATTTTATGAGGACAGGAAATAGCGCTTCACGGCTTTCGGCACCAGGAATGTCTCTTTCACAGCTAGAAATTTTTTCTCTTCTTCGACTTTATCTTCACTTTGTTGGCTTCTTTAGCTTCTGCTGACGAAAATTTCTAAACACGAAGATGGGTTTTAGAATGATCGATTCCCTTCTACGAAACACGCAGTTCAAATACCTCAAAAGATTTGTCAGCGTTTAACAATTTGTATTCCACTATCGCTGTCAAAGATGGTTCAAGTATTTGAAGCTATACTCGATGGAGTTCGATTCTTTGCGTTGGGAACTGCAGTGGTCTTTGTTATGGTGGCTAGACTAATCTCCTTTATACTGGTAAGGATATTAGAACGTTTAAAATCGGTTCGTATTGAGAAAAATAATTTAATATTACTTATCCCACAAGGGATTAATTTTATATAATACTTAAGTATATCGTACTTTATTTATTTTGTACTTTACTCAAATAATCCATTCATTAATACTAGTTTTAAAACCGAAACCTTAGCCAGAGAAAAATTCCCTACAAATACGTATTTTCTTGAAATTATATTTCGTGTTAAATTTACAAAATGTACTTTTTTTGCGTGTGTAGACATTTTTAAACCTCTCACTAGAAACGAAAATTTAGTGTTGGTGTTCGTATTCATACCCATATACAAAGGTCCTAAACTTATATCCAATTCATTCTTTATTTTGAATCATAATTTCATGAATTTTTTATTCAGCCAAAAGATATATTTATGAAGGTATGAACTAAAAATAAAATCACTAAGATCGAGTTTACAAGTATTAATTGAGGTCAGTTTTATTAAATGTCCCTTTTGAACTCATTTATACATCGTCAGGGCCAAAAATAACTCTACAAAGAAGATTCATAAATTTGTCAAGATTTATCGGAAAGCATAGAGTAATATTCATATCGTCGTTGTTTTTCTCTTTCTCGGTATTGCTTTGATCCTGAAAAAAATTCGGCGATTTTGATCGAAAAAAATTTTTTTTAAATATTTGGCAATAAAAAGATGCTTGTTTTTCAAAAATTTACGAACTATACTTATGCAAAGTTACTTCGAAGTTTATAGCTTAAAACGAACAAGTTATGTATATTTACTTCTAAGCTCTATAGTTCGTTTAAAACGTTTCGTTTCCTCTATCCGAGAATTTGTCGACAAAATTTTTCAATCTGACAAAACTCCAATTTTTCCCAAATCGATTTTAAAGTTTGTTTACCCGTCTTGTGATAATTTGGCTTTCGCTTTCTGCCTCGGTTCATCAGCCGCGAACTCCTCTACGGAAATAGTTCCCTTTGTCCGTGAAGTACTCTCCCATTGGTTGTCATTTCCTGAATGGTCAAAGGAAACCCCACCTCGGGTCACCTTGACTTTGTTCATTCCTCTATCTCTGTTTATCTATTTCTTCACTTAGTTTTACTCAAAGTTCACTGGGTGTCTTTTATTCATTTTCCTTGCCCCGAGAATTTTCTTGGTTTCGTTGAGATATTTTTTGTCATTTTGTTTAAACTCCAAAGTTGACGCTACTTTCATTTCGAAGATTCATTCTCGTTTTGAAAGGTTTTGCTTTTAGTTATTTTATTTTTTCCAGTTTTGAGCTACGGAAATTATCTACGGTTACTTTAATTTTACTTTTTCTTCCTGGACGTCGTCCTCTTATCTTTGAGGTCTTTGTGCTGCGGTTTTTTTGTTGTTGCTCTCTTGGATTTTATCCCATCTAGTTTCAATACCTTTTATCATATTTTACAAAAATGGTTGCTGTAATTCTCAAGGTAATCGCAAGGAATCGAATATTTTAAAATCTTTTTGTCAGTCGAGTTTTTCAGTGTTGTTTTCAGTCAAAACTTTATACTGACCAGGAAATACCATCCTCTACTATCGTAATCATAGCCATCTTTACCATCATCTGTAGATATAACCACCATTATCAACATCATTGTCATCATCATCATCAGCACCACCATCATCAGCACCATCATCATCATCACCATCAGCATCATTGTCATCATCATCATCGCTATCACTATCATCATCACTATCATCAACATCATCACCATTACTATCACCACCTTCAGGATCATCGTAACCACCATCATCATCACCGTTATCATCATCACTATCACCATCACCATCATCATCGCCATCATCATCATCATCATCATTTCTTTTTAAAGAACACGTTTATCTTGTTGTTTTTCAGGAGTTCGTCAAGCGCTATAGTTTATTATTCCCCCATGTTATCAACGATCCCAAGAAAGAGATTGCTTCTGTACTAAAATCCTTGAAACTGGACCCTAATGAGTACCAGATAGGAACATCTAAGGTATATATATATATATTTTTGGTAAATCTCATAACTTTTAGAAGATCTTATTTTCCATGTCATTGATATCTTGTTCAGATCTTCCTAAGGGAGAGTCAGCATAGAATCCTTCAGGACAATCTACATCAGGTGTTTATTGGTAAAGTCTGCACCATACAACGATGGACAAGAGGAGTCCTACAAAGGAAACATTTCGTCAGACAGAGAAGTGCTGCCATCACCATACAGGTAATCTAGAATGGGATTTTGTGCCTTCTACGCTTTATTCCTGTTCCACAAGTGCCCTGTACCCCTGTTCCATGTCCTGTGCCCTGTACCCCTGTTCCATGCCCTGTGCC